ATCATGTAGCCCGTTAGGGGCGGCGTAGTGATACTTGACTGAGACAAGCGGCAGAGAGGCTCGTACACCGAGAGAGAACGGTGGACTCCATTGCTGTCCTGAGTGCGTTTCTCGTCGGCTGTGTCGTATTGCGTGTCTGTCCGTGCTTTCGTGCACATAAGTTTTCTTTCCACATTGGAGATATTGTGAATAGTATTCTTTGTGTTTAGTGCCTGAACAATATTTGAAATCGTCAAACGTATCAAGACGTAAAAACGAGCCAAAATGGTAAGTCCAATATTTTCTTTCCTGGTGCGTGTGCTTATGCGGATGTCGTTTAGCGGCCCCTCGCCCTCACCCTCGCCTTGGCTTTCGTTTGCCGCATTGACGCGTCGAGTGCACGTGCAACCCAACCGATACGCATTTATTATGAAACTTTTTTTGTAATATTTTTTTGATTAAAAAGTTTCGATTTCCATTTCTATATCATTTTATATCTTGTCCTATGTATCAATTTACTAACGCACTATTATAATATTACATTCGTAATGGCCGGTATGCGACGATGGACCGACTATCGATCCATTTCTCCTCCGGTGACTACGTATGTGTTTTTGTCAATCTTTCTGGACATGTCATAAATTGCAAAAGTTTCAAAAATATTCATGAAAACATTAAAAAAACATTAATGTAAAAAAAAAAACGAAATTTTTAAATCTTCTGCTTCAAATATAGCATTATTATAAAGTATAGTAAAAACTTTTGAAAGTCAATATTATCCATAATATATTTTTTTAAATATCAATGCAACAGTAAATTGAATGTTGTTAATTTCTTTGAAATTATAGATTTACAAATTATCAACTTAAAATCTTAATATCTTATCTTTAGATTATCAATCTCTCGTGAGATAATGTCAATTTCTTTGGATATTTCACTAATTTCAATTTAATATTAAATTATTAATAATAAATTCAAATTAAAAGTAATAATAAGAATAATGAATTATTATCATTTGTATATTTAAAAATTGAAAAATTAATTGATATTAAAAAGTTTAATTTAATCATATTTAATGAAATAATTATATATAAAACCATATATATATAACAGTATTATTATTATATATATATTTGTAGATGTATTTTATTATGATTTCAAAAGGAATTTGAAATTTCATGTTAAAATACAAACTTTAAAATATATCTATTTTTTGTCTTATTTTATATCACATTATTTTTTTTTACAAAATTTTGTTTGGACAAATTTATGTAATGAAAGAAAATAATCTTACAAAATTTTTTTTATTATTTTTTATAATTATTTTTTTTTTTTATGGATGATCATTGTTTTCTTTATATAGTGTATAGTATTCGACAATCAACATAGTATTCGACATTACACAGTAATACTTCACTATTGATTTTCGCGGTCTCCTACCGTTGCGCTAATTTCCTCTATTTCTTATACATCGTACTTGTTCTACAATTAGTTTTCTCACATGATGAGTTTTAAATTTTTTCTTCAAAATTGAAATTTAAGGATTTTAATATTATTGTATATTATATTTAATTAAAAAAATGTTGAAAATTGTTATATATGTACAAATATATTTATTTATACATAAATATATTTATTATATTTTATAATTATGTAATTTCATTTTCTAAATTTTCAAATCACAAAAAGTAAGAATACATTTTATGTAGTATATATAGAATTTTAAATAAAATTTTCATTTTTATTATAATTTTATAATTATAGTTTTATGTTTAAAGACATTCACGAGCCTTTTGTCGCATAACCTAAAATGTATATTATTTCAATTTAAATTCATCTAAATTATTTATATAAATATGCATATAAATATTAAAATTTTATAAACAAACTTTTAAATCGACTAAACATAAATTTTTAATAAAATTTTTTTACTTTTATCTTAATTATAAAATTTAATTTATAATGTATTATATATTTTCCTTTCAATAAACAGTTAAATATTACTATTATTTTTATATAAAGTATAAATTATATGTAATTGACTTATATTCAAGATATAAAAAGAATATTTTATTGTAAAAGTTATGAATTAATTTAAAATTTTTATTATTCGTTATTACACGATTTTTATTTATAATGAAATAATTTATTAAAATCAAATATATAAATAATAGGAATTTTATATTTGTATGTAGGATTTTCTATTCAAAAATACAATACAAATGAATATAACATTTTATAAAAGAAAAATATAATCATATTGTATTTAAATAAATTATTAAAAGAATTATTAATAGAAAATTACTTTATAATACATCAAACTTTCATGATGTTCATTAAAATAAGATTTTTATATGCAAAAAACTTAGTTAGATCTTAATAATACTATATTAATAGTTTATTTAATATTTAATTAAAAAAAATTTAATTTTTTAATTTAAAGGCTGATCAACTTACGGAAGAACAAATTGCAGAATTTAAGGAAGCATTTTCGCTATTTGATAAAGATGGAGATGGTACCATCACAACTAAAGAGTTGGGTACAGTTATGCGATCACTAGGTCAAAATCCCACAGAAGCTGAGCTTCAGGATATGATTAATGAAGTTGATGCAGATGGTATTTTATATAATTTTATTTTATATTTAATATTTAACATTTACATTTTGATATTATTCATTATGCAATTTTTATATTTATTATATTCATTATATTTGTTCATAGATTGCATATAATTTTAACATTATTTTTAAATTTATTTTGTTTAAAATATTTGCATAATAGAAAAATAATTCTTATATAATATATATAATTATGTCTTTCTTAAGAATATTGGGAAAAAATCTGATTTCAGAAAAAATCAAAACTAAAAATACTTGGAATTGTAGGTAATGGCACAATCGATTTTCCGGAATTCTTAACTATGATGGCTCGTAAAATGAAAGATACTGATAGTGAGGAAGAAATTAGGGAGGCCTTCAGAGTATTTGATAAAGATGGAAATGGTTTCATATCTGCAGCAGAACTCAGACATGTTATGACAAATCTTGGCGAGAAACTCACTGATGAAGAAGTTGATGAAATGATTCGGGAGGCTGACATTGATGGTGATGGCCAAGTTAATTATGAAGGTTGTATAATTAAATATAATAATTTTAATTTAAATAACAAAATATATTATAGTAGTTTTAGAATTAAAATATTGTTATCAATATTTTAAAAATTCAAATTAAAACTTTCAATTAAAATTTTAAATATTTGCATAATTTTTAAATTTAAAATATATATTTATAAAATTACAATTCTAAGAATCATTTTATTTGTCTAGAATTCGTCACAATGATGACATCAAAGTGAATGCAACCTGTGTAATGGAAAAACTTGCAACTTGGAGTGGTGTTGACGTATTAAGATAAATCAAGAAAAATATAATGTTAACAAAAAACGAATCGACCAGAAAGTGAAAAAAATCTTGTATCTGGACGCAAAGATGTCTATAAAACGCGAAAAATCAACGTCCAACACGCGTTAATCATCATTAACGATAAGTAATACAGGGCAATTGTTTAATTAAAAGAGTTATTCCACTAAAAATCATTATCTCTAAATACACAAAACTTAATTACACAACATGAACATAAAAATACATATTACTCGCGCACATACATGAATACAAAAAAATATACAGCACACACAAATACCATCTACAT